AGAAAATTACTATTGACACCCTCAAAATCAGGCCCATTCTCTACTTTTTTTAAAATATTTTTGTTTATTTCACTTAATTATTTTATTTTTATTTAATTAAATACTAACTAATAAACAATTTTCTTTTTTATCAAAAAATTACAAAAAATATTTCAGAATTTATTTTTCATTAATAAATACTAATTAAATTAATTAGGATATTAATTTTAGATAACTTTCATTTATTTTGTAAATATTTAAAATTAATTAGAATTAATAGGTTTTAACCCTAATTTAATTATTTTATTTTCTTTCCTAAATTAACAAAAACTCCAAAAATATGTCATTTAATATTTTTCATTAATTTATTTATTTAATAATTAATTTAGCATTTAACTTTAAGATTTAATTTCTTTTCTTAAAAATAAAAACAACAAAAAACATTTTCTTTAATTAAAAGGGTCAAAACCCTAAATTCGCATTCGATTCAATTTCGCATCACGCGCTTTATTTATCCAATTATTGTATCTGCTCCCGGTTTGTAATAATTAATTGGGACATTTACTTTTACCGCTTTTACGTTATTATCAAAGGGTTGCTTTTGGCGATGTAAATACACGACGCCTTATAATAATTTAGCTTAATTTCCGCACCTTTAAATTCTGCAAATATTCAACTGCTAGATGTTTGATAATGGGGTTTGCATGACAAGAATGAATGTTTAATCTAAAAATCAGTTAGATCCCCCTAAACACGTGCAAAGATAAAAATAACTGAAATCAATACACTCTCACATGCGCACTCTTAGGGTACACATCCCACTTGGTTGCCTTTGTAAATGGTCATTGAGTATAGTTTGTTTTAGAGGTCGCCCTCTTGTCTAAAAGATCATAAGTTGCCTCGGAAAGGTTGCCTCGGATATCGTTGCCTCGGATAAATGATCTAAGACATTAGGGTTACCGCTAAGATGTCCTAACATTGCTTTAGTGACCGTATGTCCCTCTTTCGAATTGACCCTCAAACTCCAACGACGGTGCTACCTACTCACTAATAGTGGGATAACATTGTCTAAAGGAAACAAACATAGAACAATTCCTTTTTCGAGTAGGTAGATTAGTTCTTAGATACTTGCTCATCCAAAACAAAATCTTTTTCACACTTACACTCTTTTACAAACAAGTTTTCAAAAAACACTTCATTACACTCTTGAAGACAGACGCAAGAGTTAAATCGAAGTCAAAACAAAAACTTTTCAAAGCCCACAAACACAAAGAAAATAATTTTGAAAATGATGAGCAAGTACCTAAGAGCCCGTAGATAACTACGGATAGAAAGGGTGCTAATACCTTCCCTTTCTATAATCTACCCCCCGTACTCAAAAATATCTCGAAAAAGGAATTTTTCTGTGCTTTTTTCCTTTCCTTGTTGGATAAAATAAAAGTCGGTGGCGACTCTTGCTTACCGCGACATTTTGCGAAAACAAACGCAAAATGCAAACCAGCATTCCAAAAACAGTCAGTTCTTCCCACCGTATCACAGGTTTATTCTGACTTCCAGATACAACTTTACACGGGCTCAACATGAAGCAATCTTACACAGGTTTCTTCTGACTTCCAAATACAGCTTTACACGTGCTCATCACGAAGCAATCTTACACGGGTTTCTTCTGACTTCCAAATACAGCTTTACACGGGTTCAACATGAAGCACTCTTACACGGGTTTCTTTTGACTTCCAAATACAGCTTTACACGGGCTCATCATGAAGCAATCTTACACGGGTTTCTTCTGACTTCCAAATGCATCTTTATACGGGATCGTCATGAAGCAATTTTACACGGGTTTCTTCTGACTTCCAAATACAGCTTTATACGGGCTCTTCATGAAGTAATCTTACACGGGTTTCTTCTGACTTCCAAATACAGCTTTATACGGGCTTTTCATGAAGAAATCTTACACGAGTTCCTTCTCCCTCCTTCTGAAGTTTTACACGGACTCATCCTGAAGCAACCCTACCCAGGTTCCTTCTCACAATCTCCAGATGCAGTTTTACACAGACTCATCCTGAGGCAACCCTACCCAGGTTCCTTCTCTTGAATTTCCAGATGCAGTTTTACACAGACTCATCCTGAAGCAACCCTACCCAGGTTCCTTCTCACAATCTCCAGATGCAGTTTTACACGGACTCATCCTAAGGCAACCCTACCCAGGTTCCTTCTCTTGAATGTCCAGATGCAATTTTACACTGACTCATCCTGAAGCAACCCTACCCAGGTTCCTTCTCACAATCTCCAGATGCAGTTTTACACTGGCTCATCTTGAGGCAACCCTACCCAAGATCCTTCTCTTGAATTTCCAGATGCAGTTTTACACGGACTCATCCTGAGGCAACCCTACCCAGGTTCCTTCTCACAATTTCCAGATGCATTTTTACACGGACTCATCTTGAGGCAACCCTACCCAGGTTCCTTCTTACAATTTCCAGATGCAGTTTTACCCGGACTCATCCTGAAGATGCCCTACCCAGGCTCCATCTCATATATCTCCTAAAATAGTCCTACCCAGGTTCCTTCTCATACACTTCCAGATGAAGTCTTACCCAAACTCATCCTGAAACAGCCCTACACAGGTTTCTTCTGATACATTTCCAAATAACAGTTAATTTCATTCTCCCCAGCAAATTACTGCGAAGCCTGGATTTCAACCAGAAAATAACAAACTTTCATCTCTCCAATACAGAGATAACCCCTCAGTAGAGCCATGGACAACTGAAGTTCCTAGACTCTATTCCCCACAGAGTTTTCCTCAAACAAGAAAACAACAGAAATTAACATCCCCCAGTGGACTCCTCCTCAGACAACAGGAACAAGAATCCCCATAAAGAGACCTCTTATGAAGTCAGCATCTACTCTGGATGGCATCTTTAAGCCCATCTCTGACGACTCTCTGTCATATTCTTTAGATGGCGTCTTTAAGCCCATCTCCGATGACTTTCAGTCAACTTCTCCAAATGGCATTTGTAAGCCCATTCCCGACGTCATCAACCATCATTATTACTTCATGTGAGTGAAAATTTCTTGGCACTCTAGTGTTCAATCATCTTCTACCTTTAGATCACAAAAGGCAGATAAGCCAATCTAAATCCTCAGGTTTAAGAAGATTGAACAGGGGAAGCTATTGTACCCAAAAAAATTCCCTCTCATTTTTGGGGTCATGGTCTTTTCGATTCAGAGGGGAAGCAGTCTTTCGATCCGGAGATAGGTGGAATTTTTGACCCAGGAGAGATGTGTGTCCTTCGACCCAGAGAGAGATGATTGTCTTTCGATCCAGGGGTGGATGCTATGAGGACAACGAATCTGCAAAGGTATGTTAGCACAAATGAAAAGCATGACTTGGGTGTTAGGCTCAGGTCTTTCGATCCTGCGTGATGTGGCCTTATTTATGCTGGATCTGCAACAAGTGTTAGAAAGATAAAAACAAAATCTCAGATTTGAGTCGAATCTTGGTCTTGGATTCGATAAATCGTGGTTGTGTCGTCCTAATTCGACTCTCCTGTATCTGAATCGAAAGTCCCTTTGTCCTATAACACCATGAATCCCGAGATTCGAAAGAAGATACAGATCGTGCCCTAGCAATGGCACGATCTCCTCCATGCACTTAAACTTATATACAACACATTGAACAAGCACAAACATCAACAATAACATGCATGTAATGATTAATATGGATTTAAAGGAAAACTGCATATTTAGTTAATTTGAAACCGAACAGATTACCAAACGGATGGAGCGTAAGATCGAACGGATTAACAAATGAAGGGAGCGTGTGTTAGATCCTCCTAATGCTTGGACACGTTTCCTGGAACCTAGTGACGACTTTGAGATTTTGGGGAGCTTCGATGGGCAATTTGTGTGGGTGATGCAATATGTGTGATTTCTCCACCTTTTCGTCCCCCCCTGTAATATGTCCTTGGCCTCATATTTATAGGAGTGTGTTATAGTAACGGAAAGAGAGCCATTTAATCAAGCCTTTAAAGCTATGATACAAGAATCAGACAAATTGAAAGGTTTCCTTTTTGAAATATTCATGCCCCTTTTTGAAATCTTGGATGAACCTAGACATTTTCCTCCTTCGAACGTCTTCCTGTCATTCGAAAATCCTTTGCCCAAATACCACTCGAAGGGTATTTATTGAAACACCGATCGAAGGGCCTTTCCAAAAGGTCAACCGAAGGGTACTTGGTTAACATGCCTGTCGAAGCTTCCTTGTTTGAGATGCTAAATTGAAGGATTCCTTGCCATGTCAATCGAAGGGTCGGGCCTAGGGTGCCAAACGAAAGGGTCTTTCAGAATGCCAATCGAAGGCCTTGACACCATGCCAATCGAAAGGCTTGTCATGAGGCTAATCGAAAGGCCTTGTATCCATGCCAATCGAAGGGCTTGGCCATGAGGTCAATCGAAAGGCCTTGTATCCATGCCAATCGAAGGGCTTGGCCACAATGCCAATCAAATCTTTTTTTAGAATGTCAATCGAAAGGCTTGGCCACAATGCCAATCGAAGGGCTTGGCCATGAGGCCAATCGAAAGGCCTTGTTCAGGTGCCAATTGAATGATACTTTGTTCTGATACCAATCGAAATGCCTTGCTCATACACCAATCGAAGTACTTTGTTGACTGATCGAAAACTTCGTTCTGCTCTCTTCGATTTCCTTCAGTTTGGACCAATCGAAGTGACATTAAAGTGCCAATCGAAGACGCCTTTGTTCAGATGCCAATCGAAAGACATTTTGTTGACATGACTTCGAAGTACACCCCATCGAAGGACACTTTGACCAACTTCAAAATTTGTTATTTTTCTTCAAACAAGTGTTTGTAACCACCCATGTATGATAAGATCTTATAAAAAATGAGAGGAAAAATTTTGGGGTACAACAACATCATTCAAAAATAGTTGAGATGTTTTACTTCAAATGTCAAGACATTAAACAAAACATTACCAAAGTAGTGTTTTACCAAAATTGTTGCTAACTAACACTTACATTATGTACGACAATATATAATACATGAACAACATTTTTGAATTTAGCCACGATTTCTTGGTCAGGACACAATTTTTTGACACAAAATGACTGTTCAAACCCAGAGTTCACGTCATTGTTCAAAACTATCTTAAAGAGCATAATTTGTTCAACCAATTCACCAATAACTGTTGGCAAAATGGTTGGCTCATCATCCTAAAATCTGAAATGTTACAAACAGAAAATATCATATAACAACTGATAATATAACCTAAATTAGGTAATAGACATGTGTAAGAATGAAATACTCACACAATCCATTTGATCAATCAAATCAACACATATTTTCTTTGTTAGTAGATAGCAATCACGATAAAAAACAACGAATGTGACAAAATCGGTTTCATCAATCACCCTAAATTTGATACGGTAGCTATATATGTAATCCACAATCAATAAACATAAACAATAATTATTAACAAAGTATAAACATAATTAACAATGAAATACCTTGGCACAATTGTCCAAACATACTTTTCACACTTAGGGCAGAAAATCCTTTTAGAGTCTATAACAACACCATTGTTGCAGACACATGCAGCATACCACCAATCGTTGCCACCAATAACATGTTTGATTGTCCCTAACATAATACAAACAATATTCTACACAGGAAACAAAAAACAATTATGCTAAGTTAACAAACTAAAAAGTAGACAATCAATCTCAAGTAATTTTGTAATGATTGATGGCAAAATATTACATCTTAACAATCCTTCAGTCCCTCAATAGTTTTGCGTTAACTCAAGTTCAAAAATTCTTCTTCTAAACTCAACTTTGAAGCATCTTTCATATAATTGAATGGTTGTGTAGGTGAACCAATATTATCGTGGACCTTCAAATTTTCTGCCTTATGAATTTCAGGGTTGAACAAAAGCTTGGTAGAGTTTATTGCATTTTGAAGTTGGACCTTTCCATTATACAATTTCACTTTTAGATATTGAGCAACCACAACAACATTTCCATTACAGCCAGATTGCAGAAAGGCGTCAAGGGCATTAACATACAGCCCAAATAGCGTGTACTCAAGCTTAATTCTACATGAGTTATAAAATTTAATCAGATAAATGATTAGAGTATTACATAACAGTATACAGTATAACTCACATAAAATATATTACCCATTGGATTCCAACTCAATAACTTTAAATTTAGTAGCTACACGATTCCTTTCATACACCTTTTCACGACCAACAGAAGACAAAATACCAATAACATCTGGAAAAGATTCAAGAAATTATGACTTTAGATGCACAACTATAAAAATATATGAAAAGACATGAAATAATATATAAAACATAAGGTATACTACCAATCAAGTAGTCCATATCTATGTTGCCAAGAATATTTGTAAAAGATACAAACGAATAAGGCGATAATGTTGTAATTCCGGTTCCAACATCTGTAACAATCATGCCATTCTGCAAATTCAATTTAAACTGGTGTTTTGTAGTCCTAAATGCTCTAGTATTAGCAGCGACACCAAATGACTTGAAATTATACGAAGATCCCTCCTTAATTTTATTTTCAAATCGAGACAGCAAGGCTTTTCTAATTGAAGCTTAGATTTTGTCACCCTATCAAATCACAAACAATATACAATTTAGTTTATATCAGTATAAAATATTTTTTTACAATTACAAATAAACTTAAACGGCAAATGAAACAAACAAATCACCTTATCATCCATGAGAACCGTTTCCATAGCAAAATATTTTTGTTTCACATTCATGTCTGGTACGAACCATAAGCGGACAACTCGAACATCAATGTTCCATGACTCCTTTGCAGGAGTTATTTCGTTAACAAAGTTGACACCTCTGGAAGCTATGAACAAACCTAACACAAAAAAAAAATGGATGCAAAATCGTGAATAATAACTATCAAGAAGAATTTAAAACAAAACCGATGGATGCAAGATGGATATAATACCTATTTACATCCACGAAATTCATGTGTATCTCGCACAAAACATAATCAATTAAAATTGTGAATGTGAATTGTAATCTTACTCGGGAAACATAATTCATTGATGTTCAGAATTTGAAATCGGTTGTTAGATTCATCTCAATACATGAATTAGGGTTTGGAAAATAAGAAGATTTTATTGTCCGATATACAGAAGGTTGCATTGTGCACAAGAATACAAAAAAACGGATTTCTGAGGAAAGTTGAATGGCTGCCGACGATTCCTATTCTCCAAAAGCCCAATAACAATAATTTGTTGTAAGCATGACACACAAAAGAATCAGAGTCTTGATATTAATGAGACAAATTAAAAAATAAATAAAAAATAATAGTGAAACATTTAAAAGAAGTGTCCATTTATATGTAAAATATAAATAGAAGATGGACCGAGAGTTTGCCAAGTGTCAAATTTGTCTAAATACTCATCTTATATATGTATATTCTCCCTATAAATAACTCAACATTCAATTTTAATTCCTTCGAACAATAATCTTCCTAAAGATTTTTGTTTATAATTTTGGTCTCTACCGTCTCTTTTTTTTTTAACGGAAACATGTCACATGACATACACATCAATTAAATTCAACATATAAAAGAACTAATTAGATCGTGAGGGTTACAAAACTCCCTAAATTCACTCGGCATCAAACTGCTTCTTCCGAGCAATATTTCAAGAGTTTTTTTTGTCACTAACTGAAGTACAATTGAAGGATGAAACATCATTGCTTTGTTCACCAAGTCAGATGCCAAAGCCTCTTCAGAATCACTACAAATATCTTTAGAGGGAGGGAACATGCCATTGGTGAAATCAACAACTAGCAATGAAAAAGACATTTGGGAACAACCAAATTGAGTTACCATTTTGTACATAAGAGAGGTCCACACCACCAAAAGACAGAAGAGAGTAACAAATAATAACAAATAAAAAGAATGTGCAAGTGAAAAAGAACGTTGCCAAATTAAGAGCAAATCGGAAAGTTCTAGTAGCTTCTATGGTCACTATTTCATGTGAAAATTATTGTTTGAAAGAATTTTTTATAAGTATTGGAATTAAATATTAAATTATTTATAAGTTAGAAAACGTATAAGTAGAACTATAACTAAATGTATAGATAAATTGGAGTAAAATGAGTTTATTGATTGAGTGGTTCAAAAATAAAAGACTAAGTTACAATATAGATTCTTATACCGTGGTTTAGTCACAAAATCAATATTCTTATTTTGTTTTTGAATGATTTCTGGTCCTCGTTCCCTATTTCTAATAGAAAAATGTGTTGATGTGGATTTTTTTAATAGGTGACAATTATTGGGTGACATTTATAATTGGTTAAATATATAATACATGTCATTTTTAAGGATATATATTATATTAAATTAAAACAAATTAAAAATTATTTATACATGAAATAAATTATTTCAATTGGAAATAGGAATGTAAAGTGACCTCAATTTAAACTTAGAAAGTTTCAAAACACAAGAAACATCATGTTCCTCTTCATTGTGTTATATTCATCCCCTTTCAGAATAATCACATACCACCTTCCTTAATCATCACACTCTCATTGTATTGTTCACATCAAATTTTCAATCTCGACAAATGCTAAATGACTTCTAAATCACTCTCTGTTTCAAGCAAATTTTCTCATTTTAAGAAAAGAATGATGTAATATTATTGTGGGTTGGATACACCATTACTAACAGTATGGACAATTAAGAATTTTGGCTACAGATTTGATGAATATAGGATATACAAGGTGATGACAATATGTCACATTATCTTTTTAATATTCAATTTTGCTGTTTTTGAGTATTTTTTATTGTTAATGCATTACCGTTTCGTAAGTTTATAATAAAAATTACGAAGTTATGATGGAAGTTCAAATTTTATCGTAATTTCTTAATAAAGATTAAACTAAGTCATAATCATTCTAATTAGAAATTTTTTATAGTAATTTACGATAGAAAAGCAAGGAGTGAGTCAATGTAACACCTTGTTTTTATTAGATAATTTATTTAATCTATTATGTCTTTTGTGTGAATTATTGGATTATTGTACATAGGAATTAAAATTTTGGGTTATATGTCTTTGAGGTGGGAGTGTGGAGATAACTTAGAAGTGAATAGAATTAATTATTAATTAGAATAAATAATATTTTATTTGAATTAATTAAATAAAATAGTAAAATGATAAAATTGAGCCAATGTGGAGAATTAAGAGAAATAGAGGGGAGCAAGGAGTTATGGAGTTTGGACAATAGTGTGAATTAAGAAAATTGAGGGTTAATGAGATAATTGAAAAGAATAGTGTAGAAAACCTTAAGTATATATTGGAAGTAATTTAGCCTAGTTTTATCGGTACATATAATTTGAGAAAAGAGGCAAAATGAGAGAGAGAGTTAGGGCTTGAAGAAGGAGACCCCATAAAGATTATTTGCTTTTGTTGAAATTACAAGATAAGGGGGGGGATTGTTCATCTAAGGGTGTTTAATTCATGAAATGGTATAGAGATTTCTCTTAACCTCTAGAATGGTTGTTTGATTTTGTGAGTAATTGGTTTAATTTAAATTATTTGATGTATGTTCTATGTGACGGGTTAGTCGGGGTGAGACTATCGAACCGTTGAATTATCGTTAGGAAATAATGTCGGTTAGTGGAGGATTAATTAATTAGTGAAAATTATAGAGAAATAATAAAATAATGATAATTGGGTCTAATATGTGAGAATATGAAGAGTAAGTGGGAGTGTGATAGTAAGTCCATTAGTTGGTTACTAGAGATAATATTATTTTGTTAAAGGTTTGATAGAAAGAGAACATAAGGTTAGTAAAGAAAGAAAAGAGGAAAAAAAAGACAAACCTAGAGACAAAGGAAAGAGGAGAAGAGGAATCCTAAGGAGAAACTCAAGAGTTCATCAAGAAAATCAAGGTAAGGGTCAGTTTTTACATCATTATAGGAATTATATAATGATATGTAATAGGTAGTTGTATGCTTAGGATGAAAATTCCAACTTCTTAAGTTTTGAAATTGTTAGATTTGAATGAGGAATTCTTGAATATGATGATTGATTGTGTTGTGATGTTGTTGATTGATAATACATGTTAGATATATGTTTTAGTGCCTTAAATTGCAGGAATTTGGGTGTTAAAATGTATTTTGGGGTCGAAAGTGGTATAGAGTTTAATGTTGCCATCGCAGAGAATTTTTCTGAAAAATCGCAGAGGGCGCTTAGCGCCGGTTTTCGCGCTTAGTGCCAAACTCTAGGGAAGTGAAGGCGCTTAGCACCGTGTAGCGCGCTTAGTACGAACTGGAAGTTAAAATTTTAAACTTTCTTTAGATTTCATGGAATTATGTATCCTTATATTTTATAATAATTTATGATTAATTTTAGAATTGTTAAAACTATTTGTTGGATGGTTTTTGAATGTTTATTTGATAAAAAAATGAAACTTTGCTTATATGTTTTATATGTTTTATATGTGTGTATGTGGTTTGTGTTGAATTGTAATGATACTTTGTACATTGCTTTCTATGTGTTGTTATGATGTTTTGAAGCAGGGATGCTATGAATATGAATTGTATGTAAATGATTTATAAATATATGCATGTATGTGCAATTGTGTGGTAATTCAATTGTGATGAATTATGGAATATATGCATGGATGTTAAGATTGAGGGATGGTCTTAATTGCATGTGACTGTTGAAATTGCACATGCACCATTGTTGTCAAGAGGAAATGCTTGTTAGTTATGTGGGAACTAATGGCTTGTCTCAAACCTAGAGCGAGGTTTGAAAGCTTAGGGGATGGGGTTTTTGTGTGTTAATGGTCTAGGAAACGAACCCGGTTTAAAGTGAAAATTGAATAAAAATAACAGTGATTGATACCACATGTATGAGTATTGCGTTTGAGTCTTGCATTGAGTCACATTGTGTTATGTCATATTATGAAGTTACGTTCACTATGTGAAAATGATGTAATTGTGAAATTGTGGATTTGTGATTATACACTTGTGAATAGTATGATTAATTGAGTGATGCTATATGTAAAGAATTTGAAGTGTGAGAATATTTATCTTTATGCATGTATGTTAGGCATTATAGATTATTATATGATTTCGATAATTATGTGAGTTCTCACCCTTCTGTTGGAATAATGTTTTATACGATATCGCTCAGGTACTAAAGACTAGAGTTGCTTCTAGCAAGAGTGTAGCCGAAGGAGTTAGCTTTATTTTATTTCTGTATTTTGGGTTTAGTCATGCTCAGATGTTATGTAACATTGAGGAACATTACGAATTCATGTTTTGAGATATACATTGTATACTCTATTTTATTTTGTTATGATTTATTTGAATTATGTGGTGAATTGGCTTTTATGCCTAAGTGGTGAAATGAATGAGTTGATTATGAGATTAATTATTATATTCATTATGAATGAAATTGATTCTGCTGCTACATGATTATGTGAAAGTGTATGGAAATCATGAGTTTTAATTAAGTGTTATTGAGCATGACAAGTGTATGTGTGTATTTTGAATTATGTGTGACACCCTCAGTTGATATGCATGTTATATTACTCTGATTTATGTTGTATTGTTCTACGGAGTCTAGATGGTGTTACATTAGTGGTATTAGAGCATAGTCTGTCAGTTGACCAAGGTGTTAATGTATTTATTCCATTTTATACTCGATATGTGTATGTGACACTATCGCTATTGTTTGTTCTAACGAGGATTTATTGGTTGAAATTCCCATAATAATGGTCGGAGGAAGGAATGAAGATGCTATTGCTGAAGCTTTGACGATGCTGGCTAGAGCAATTGGGCAGAATCAACATGTCAACAATAATGTTAGGAACAACAATGATGTGAGTTTTGTGCTTTGGGGAAGTTTTAGAGGAATAATCCGCCGAATTTCGAGGGAGCTCATGAACCTGACAAGGCACAAGTACGGCTGAAAGCGGTCGAGAAAATATTTCGAGTCATGAATTGTTCAAATACAGAGAAGGTGCAGTTTGGCACCCATATGCTTGAAAAGGAAGTTGGGGACTGGTGGGGTAATACTACTTTGACTGTTTGAAGAAGAAGCATTTTTGGAGAATTATTTTCTAAAAGATGTGCGTGGGAAGAAGGAAATTGAGTTCCTTGAGTTGAAGCAGAGTAACCCAACTGTGTCAGAGTATGCTGCAAGGTTTGAATAATTGATTAAGTTTTATCCTCACTACAACACTGCTAATACTAAGAGATCCAAATGTCTTAAGTTTTTGAGTGGTTTGAGGCCTGAGATCAAGCAAGCCATTGGTTACCAGGAGATTAAGTGATTTTATGAACTGGTTAACAAGAGTAGGATCTATGACGAGAATAGTAGAGCTCACTCTACTCACTATAAGAGTTTGAACAAGAAGAAGGGGAAAGGTCAATTCAGAGGAAAGATGTATGTGACTCCTGCAGATAAGGGGAAACAAAAAGCTAGTTATAACAAGAAGCTAAGTGGGGGAGGAGCTCCTTCTCCGGTTAAGTGTTTTAGATGCAGTGTTGAAGGACATCGTGCTCTTGAGTTCATAAGTGTTGAACATAAATGTTTCAAGTGTGGCAAGCCAGGCCACAAGGCTTATGAGTGCAAGGAAGGTGCGAATGTGACTTGCTACAACTGTGGTGAGCAAGAGAACATTAGTACCAAGTATGATAAACGGAAGAAGGAACAATCTAGAGGAAAGGTGTTTGCTCTATCAGGTTCTGAGACTACTAGTGAAGATCAATTAATCAGAGGTTTGTGATTCATTAATGGTACACCTTTGATTGTTATAATTGACACTGGAGCAATACATTCCTTTATT